CATCTTTCATTCTTTAGCGTTGAGTTTTTATAAGTGAAGCGTGAAGTGTCAGTGTTGACAAGTGATAATTTTTTTATTTTTTCTTCTACGAAATTTAATATTAATTTTGTTTCAGCGATATTTATTGTGATTTGTGTTGTTGTATTAAGTGCTTTCTTATTTAATATGGGTAACAAAACGTACAACAAACTCAGAAAAAGAGGAATCGAGGAGGGATTGCTATCTATGGCTGTCATCCAAGGGTCTGCGCCCTAGATAATACTTTTCCAGTGGGAAAAGCCTTTAAAATTCAAGTATAACAATTTTATGTTTCCGTTTTCCCTTCTTTTAATGTAGGTGCCAATTTTGAGGTAAGTTTGTAATAATTTTTCAGTTAATACCTACCCTCTTAATATTATAATTTAACTATGATCTTATGCTTTCCTATGGACACGATTCAAGGAGGGAGTCCTACGGCTGTCATCCAAGCCCTAGATAATAGTTTTCCAGTGGCAACAGCCTTTAAAATTCAAGTATAATAATTTACTTTTTTCGAAGTAGATGTCCATTTAAACTAATTTTTTTTATTTCACTTATTGATTTTAGCATTTATATACAGTATCGGCTAATGAACACTTTCCAATACGCTTGGCTAGAATCGAAAATAAAACTAAAGGGTTAGCGCATTAGTTCGATCAGGAAACGAATAATATGAATGTTGCCTTGTGTGCTGTGTAATATGAACAGGCACACGGTGTGATGCATCCCCACGTAGCCGGCTGGCTACGTTCATAGTATTCTATTCCTTCTCCCACTAATGCTAACTCTTTGTAGTTTTTACTTGGACATTAGCAAAACGTATTGTACAACATTCGATAGCTGCCACTGTATTATCACAAACATCTCTTAATAACTAAATGATTTCATTTAATAGTTTCTTTTTTTTTTTTTTCAGTAAAATGGATATGGCTAGAGTTATCTTCGTCTTTAAAATATATTAAATAAGTTTTATAATTTTTCAAATAAAATACTTTATACAATTTTTTGTTTTTTTACCAGAGCCAATTTTTTTTCAGATCTAACCTCTATAGGTAAAAAATAAGTGATTTAGGTAAAATTGAAAAGTATATTACATGTTCTTTTAAATGTGTTGTTAATCCAAATGCTGCTCTTATTGTAATAGCTAATAATAAAAGAATTAGTATTATTTTTAGCTATCAAAATAAAAATAGCGCCTGGATTTACAGCTCGTTTAATCGAAAATGCAATATACTTCTCAATAATTATTGCCGAATGAATATATTTAAAAATTCCCGCCATTCCGCGGCTGAAAATTTACAATTTTGGCGGGAAATTTAAATTTCGCCTTTAAATTATATTTGAATTTACCGCCATATCGAGTTAGTTGAGCGGCCAGACACAGACGCATTCTTGCGCTGCAAACTTAGTGCCAACTCTTTAACAAGTGAGATGCACTACTATAGGGGATATATTGTGGCATCTACCATAGATCAGTGGTTACGATTGTCCTGTACAATAGAAAAAATGAATATTACTCTTAGCACAGACTCTTGGTTTATTTACGATTTCTCTATTTGCATAATTCGGCTCAGTAATTTTTTGTACACAATATATACTAAGCACTACATTGGTCCATATAGCTAAATACACTGCATACTAAAATCAAATAAATTATTTAAGTATTTTAAGACATACCAACAATAATTTAAAATATTTAACAAAATTTCGCTATGTATATCACAAATGAAAATGGCATTTTTAGTGGCAGTTTTTAATTTACCACTTCACCACTTACAACCGGAGTTTAAATGTCGTGAAACACTCTGTATTTTTATCAAATCTTTAGATTTGTGTAGTTGTCTTTGAAATTTGGCATACCTAATTATATGGGAAAAGCTTTTCTTTATTATTTTTAAAACTTATTGCTTCAACCAAATGTTAGCAACTATTAAATTGTAGGTATTTTTTTAAAAATATTATTTGTAAGATTACGAAAATGCACATAGATTAAAGATTACTTTGCAGATTACATTACATACATATTTTATTAAAAATAAAAGTATAACTGGCTACTTACTTTTAACGGCAACTGGTTAGATACCTACTCACAAAAAAAAACGATAGGCAATAAATGTCTATAGTGTTCATAATTATTTATAACACAAAAATACAAATGTCTAGTGTTTATAACTATAAAACAAAAATGCACAATTTTTAACCAAAAACTATTGTTTGATGCAAAAAACTCAATTATACCACCGTGAGATTGATTTTCAGTCGGCGGGATGTTCGTTTTACAAATACCTACTTTAGGTAGGTAGGAATAGGTATTCATTCATGTTTTTGAAACCATACTTATATTTGAATTAGTAGATACTGGGTACTGGAGTTATAAACATAAAATTTATAATTACTTTAATCATACCTACGTAGGTATATAGAGGATAGGGGTAGATAGGTATCCTACCTATATCCCTCTATCTACCTAAAAATTTAATTAATTTTTTTTGCATAGATTAAATCTCCTACTTCGAAAAAGTACCTATTCCTACCAAAATTGTAGGTAGGTAGAATGTTATGATACCTAATTAACGCACGAAGTCTAATTTATAAACTCGTAAAACTACCCTGCTCATATTACCTATATAATAAAATATTATATTTATATTCAATTTAGGTAATAATAAATCTAATCTTAATTAGAGATTTTAGGTAATTATTCAACGGCTAATTATAGCAGCTGATAGTAACAATAATAAAAACAAACCAGCCAAGCGCCTGATTCAAATTTACCTAATCTAATAACAAAGAGAAAAATATTTGTTATTTCATGCATTCTTGAAAATAATTGCAGGTAAAATTTCCTTCCCTACATATTTCTTCGCTTCGATGCAATGTTGCCATTTAAATAATTTAAGGTTTGTTTTAATTGATTTTTATTTAAAAAGACAATCTGATTTTTTATTAAACTCTGTAGTCTCGGCTGTAATATAATAATACAATAATCAGTAATTTCGGTAATTAATTTAGATATAAAATTTCTCCGATAATTTATACTCTGGCAACAATGATTTTCATAAGTTAATCATTTAGGTGGACTAAAAATGGTAACTCGATTCTCTTTTGGAATTTAATTTTTAATGAAATGACACATGGATAGAAAATGACGTTCATTATATACTCTTGGGAACTCAAAAATAGTCGCCATCTATTTGCTGTCTCCAAAATATTCAAACCTTTCGGTCTATGTCTGACCAACTATCTCTACTCTTTAAACAATGGTAATAGTGACAGAGGGGTGGGGAGGGATGTAGGATAGTTGAGGATATGATCGAAACATGTCCCCTTTGAAATAAAAATCGACCTATTTTTGCATTTTCTCCAAAAAAAAAATGTGTCTTGATATGCGATCTATTTCGTTTTCGGTGCCGCACCCTGTATATTGCAAGCAGTTGTGTATAACATTAAATACAACCCGTTTTGTGTACTAAACCTTTATTTGCGTAACTCCTACAGAAACAGTAGTTTCCTGTCCCAATACAACGGTCCTTTTGAAGTAATGCCATGCATGTGCAGGACACGAACATATATAAGAATAAGATAAATGAATAGGTAAATTGGTTTTGAGTATTTTCAAAGTAAACTTGACAAAAAAATGTTTAATTTTCCAAATAAAAAGTAATGTTTTGTGTACTTACTTTTTGTAAATAAATAATTTGTTTCTGCACACCTATTTTTATTTCACATAATAAGTAAAGAGATTGCAAGAGAACTACTACGCCCAGAAAGTTCAAATTTGAGTCACTTTTATTTTTAATCTACATCTTTTACTTATCTTATGGCCAGGTTATGGATTTTGTCACAAAATACCTATAATTTATGCGAAAAATTAATATTTTTATTAGTATTATTTACCTTAAACCTTCATATTTGTAAACGAATATATTACAAAATAACCAATACAGCTTAAGTAACTCCATAAAATCTAAAATTGGCAAAATATCGAATTTTAAACACTATCGCCCATTTAATGCTTATAATTCTATGTCCCATGTGACGTCTCTGTCAGTCAGCTGCATGCGCAGGAACATACCGTTAAGCCTTGGTTTCTTTGAACACTTCGTCGCGGTGAGCGGACAGTCCGTCAACCGTCGCGTTTTGACGATTTTATCCAACCAGAGTATTTAAATGGGAATGGTTTTCTTGAATCCGCTTAGCTGAACAGGACGGCGTCATGCCGCTGATTTGTCGCGAAGAGTCGGTTGATATCGGTTGAGTTTGATATCAGCGGAATCGTCGGCGTGTGCGGAGACTATATTGTTATTAATTTTAAAACAATGAGTGACAAATTCACACATACATATGACATCATGACTTTATTTTTAGGTTTCTTGGAAATTATGTCCTTTATAAAACTCAACACGAATTCAAAAAGATCTGTAGAAAGTCTAAAATACTCCCTAAATTTGGTTTCATTTACAAAAGCCTCCGCTGCACAGTGATATTAAAGGCATCTTCTGTATCGCGACAGAAAAACAACTCATTCACTGGCTTATTGGAAACTTTGACGGTTGCAATTGCCAGTTCCTCTTGTTCTTCCTCTTCCAACAATAATAACAACGCAAACAATTTATTTGCATCCATTTTAGTACCTTTCGTTTACATTCATAATACATAGACGGCACGTACAGACATAGAGAAAGTCTCATTTTCTATATTTTTTAACAAACCACCTCGGGCGAAAATCGCAGTCCTCAGCGGTCGACGGACTGTCCGCTCTCCGCGACGGAGTGTTCAAAGAAACCAAGGCTTCAGTCTGTGTATCGTGATATTACCCGACGTTTTTATGGAAATTTAGCCGTACTAGTGATCGACCCAACATTTTGCAGTGGGCTCCTAAACTAATAGGGATTATTTATTAAAATAAAACAATTTTATATATAACCAATAAATATATTTAAAAATTTATACCTGAAATACATAAAACAATTAATATAAATGTTTTTTTTATTAAATTGGCAGTAGAGAGACTCAATATTTCAATATATACATTTTAACAAATTTATAACACGTTTTAATAAAAAATATAAAAGTTATTTTTATAACAATTAAGTATAAGAAGTCATGTTTAAACTCGAGGATGACGATTCCTTACTATACTTAGAATAACATTTATAATATTAATTTATATTTAATAATTTAGAATTATGTACAAGATATTATTTAACGAACTGGGAAATCAAAACAGTATTTTTGGAAGAGAGAAAGTCTCTTTTTTATATAAATATATAAAATTTTGAAAAACAAATATTAAATTACATTAACATTATTCAAAAGACCTTAACTTCAAAAGGGTCTAAGTACCAAAGCATAGAAAAAGTTATGAATAAAATAAAATTTTAGACCTTTATAAACTTAGGATCTTATTTATTTTTATTATGTAAGTACCTATAAGATATCTGTATATATATATGAAGAACATTTTGTTAGGATAATAGCCACCTTTAGATTATTTATAATTTAATGATTATGTATAGAGTAATTTCTTAATATAATGATATAGATCAATTAGTGTTCCAGAGTTATGGAAAAATGCTTTTAGAAAATAACACAAACTGTACTACAATTATTATCTTGAAACACACCTTTTAAGAGCCTATGAAAGGTTGACAAGATACGTTTTAAGAGCCTAGAATAATTTTCTAGATACTTCTGAAAGACACCAAATGTCTAAGATACATTTTGCACAAATATAAATGAATATAATTTCATTAAAGTCTCCTTTTCATAATCCAATTTATTAGCTTTTCATGGTAAAATTTTGTTCTATGCTTTATATAAAGCATAAAGTGTATGCATACTATCTAGGTATTTTAGATAGTTGGCTCAGATATAATATTCCATTAAAGATCAAACCATGATATTATTTTATATGCGAAAAAGTTATATTTAAAAAATATTGATTTACTTTTCGAACACCTGTATAACTTTGTAGACATTAAATTTTCGAATTAAATATGATTACAATAATAAATTACCAGTAATTAGCCAGTCCAAAATCACGCCCAATTTTATAGTAAATTTTGTTGTTGAAACTGATTATTTTATTAAATTTAAATATGACATATACTTTTAGATAAAATTAGACTCAATTACAAAAATAAAAAGATGCTATTATTAAAAGTTTATCGAATTTAAACCTATGACAACTAGCTTTAGACGTAGGTACTATTTTGTTGTAATTTACAATATTGATTATAATTTTCAGTATTTTTCATCATTGTGTAGTTTTAATATAAATGAAGCACAAATGCAATTTAAATATATCTAGTTTTCAATATGACCTTTTAAAACTAATAAAATTCGGATAGTTATTTTTTTTAGAGGTGTTAGAACCGTAAGATCTAGTAACTACCGTTTTTATAAACTATTACTTGGAATAAGCATTTTTACTAGAAGACGTAAGTCGTTTAAAATGTATGTCCTAAAACAAAGCGATTTTTTGTGGATTTACAGTCAAAATTTTATACACCAGCAGTAGTATTATTTTCAATAATGAAAACAAATCAAATATTCTGTTAAATTTAAAACATTTTATAAAGAGGCTAATTTCGTGATCATAGTAGAATTTTTTAGAAATAAATAAAAGTTCCTTGGTTATACCGGCCACAATTTTTTTTTATCTAAATACACAACATGTTTTAGAAACTCATATCTTTTCATTTTCTGTATAGTCACAATCAAAATAAAAAAAAAACATCGAGGAACACAATAAACAGTTTAAAATTTTTAAAGACGAAACCAAATACTAATATTTCAAATACAACTACAACGATTTGAAACAAAAAGATGTGAGTTCGTCTTTAAAGATTATAATGAACTTTTTCGCTAATGAGGTGACCTAGTATCAACTATTAGATTTATTTCCTTAACAGTTCAGACAATGGTAATTTAATATTTTTTTGTTCTTGCTTGTTAATTTATTAAAATTAGGGTGTTTTTAAAACATATCGCGGCGTAATATCATGAAATATAATTATTAACAATTGTTTGAATTGAAAAAACAGAAGTTTTTCTATATACGACTAACAATTTTTGAAATGGATGAAAAAAATGTGTAATAAAAAACTGACAACACAAATTTAAAATTATCTCAGATTACTACATAATAAAAAAAATTAAATTTTTTGTATTACGATGCTTAAATGGATAAATTAATTTGATTAGAGAGAAAATGATAACACAGAGTTACCCCGCACAAATCTTATGGGAAATGGATTATCGATTCTTTTGAAATTTAGATATGTTGTAGATATCGACCTACTGATCAAAAGTTACCGCAACTCCCTATCACCAACCGTTGGGGTAGTACAGGGTGTTGAATCAGGGCCGCCGAGAGCCAGACCGGACCCCGCGACAAAAAATATCTCCTCCGCTACCTTAAATTTCTCTAAAAAAAAAGGTCTTCAAGCTAAAATTTCTTCTCCCCTACTTGGATCTCTAAAAAAAAGGTCTTCAAGTAAGAACTTCCCCCCCTCTTCTGTCGAACTTCTGAAAGTAACAACACCACCGCTGCCGGGCCCCCATTTGAGCCCGGGCCCCGGGAATTAGTCCCGGCTGCCCCCCCTCTAGTCAGGCCTGTGTTGAATATAAACTTTTTGTCCAATGACTCAAATCCATTTAAGCTCTCTCGTATTGTGTTCAGTTCAAAGAAAGAAAGGGTTTTTGCTATTATTAATGTTCAATAACATTCCCTTGAATATGTGATACTTATTGCTATAAAACTGTATTTTACATTTATACAGTGTTAAATTATCATTTTCCTAATTTAAGAAAAATCAAATTTTTATTTAAAATGTTTTTCCACAAAACCCTTCGTTGAAATATATTTTTTTATATGTTCCACACAAAGTCATCCTTTTTCATGTTGCGTGGAAAAACTTATTAAGGTCCTTGTAGTTTATTGATACAGGGTGGTCATATTGGAGAAAAATATTTTGTCACATTTGTGTACTCATTCTAAAAACTACTTAAGTTATTTTTTACAGCTAGTTACGTTTGCAGTTTGCTCATGTATAAAATAATATTTTCAGTGCCAATATACTTCCCATTTATTTAAAATATAATATTTGTTTCATTTTTCAGCTCATATTTTTCAATAATGCTAGATTTAAGTTGTATTTAAGATTCTGCAGGTCGATATCTGCAACATATTTAAATTTTAAACCCAGATAGCACACTAAAATTTAAAGACGTCCAGTTCATGTCTTACTTTGGTCCAAACGTTCTGGTACGTAAAACGGACGGTTGTAAGACTTCCTGCTCAGGACATGTTTAAAAAGTCTTTGTTGGGATGTTTTTAGGACGTTTTAAATATGTCGATAATGTGGACGTTCGACTATTTTCGCTATATTTGAACATGGCGCCACTACACCATATTATATAAATTATATAAAAATTATAATGCATATTGTATTGTTTAAATTTTTATGTAGGCGTGTATGGTTTACCTTTAGCGTTCAGAATATGTTCGGGATCCGTTCCGCGAAAATAGCTAATGTTGTCCCCTATAATATTATATCCATCTTTAAACCTGGAAAATCGAAGGATAATCCAATAAGGTATTCCTCAATCGCTCGGCTGGGTATAATTTATAAACTACTAGAGACTAATATTTAACAAAATTGCTCAAAAACTCTTGAGCGATGGACCGTTGGTCCTGAACGTAGCTAAGGGATCAGATGTACATTCTCAGTCAGATACATTCAAGCAGGTTACTAATGACAAAAACCTCTGTTGTAGTCGTGGATCTATTCTGCACGAGATAAAAAAATCAATCAACTTAATTGACGAAATGCTCAGAAATGGACTTTTCGAAGTAAGAATAGACGATATGAAGATTAAATTAAACCAAGACCTGTGCCTGGACTAAATGATTGACCTACTGTTATTCAACTAATCTGTACATCTCTGACATGCTCACCATACAAGCACAAACATCTGATGACTGGACTAAGGCTGTTATACCCAGATATATTGAAGAAACTTGGGATACTCGGACGTCGGAAGTCACTTTCGCAAAGAAAGACTTCAGTCGTACGCAGCTAAGATAGCTCGCCGATTAGTCACATAATATAACACCAAAGCACTTATTGGGAGTTCAATATAACCCTCTTTTTCCATAAACAATTTCTACAGATTGTAAGCTATTATATGGGATGGTCACATTTAACCCTGTGCATCTTCAGCATTATTGAGTACTGCCACGATGTGCTTGAATATATTCTCCCACCCAATGACTGCATGTGCCGAGTTACATCACTCCCAACTCATCACTGCTAACACGTTTCATATGGACATATCAAACCCTTTCAACATCAAAAACACTTGATCAAGGTCAAGACAGGCAATTGCAAAAACCATCGGGCTTTGACTTATCACTTAAAACATGGTAGTAGAATCAGGCTAGAGATATCCGAATTCACTGTACAAATGGGGACATTACCTTCTTAGGAAAGCGACGGACGAACTATCTTAATTCTTTGAATGATTTACAGCCGATTGCAAGAATGTTCATTAAAATTAACTCGATTGATTTACAGATTTTGGACTGTAAGTAATTTGAAATTTATGTCATTCAGACATCACATCACAACAGCTCTGTTAAAGTTTATCAGGATCTTATTATATTTGGATGAATGTTTAATGTTTTATTTTACATTATTTTATATAATTTATATTGTGATGTACATACGTACGGTAAATAAATAATTCCATATTATATTGCACAAAAAAAATCAATAAAATTACATGATATAAGCTCCTAGATATTCCATTTCAATAATGTACCTACTACATTCGATAGTTAAACCTATTATATACACTGTACTTGTACCCCCTTTTTCCCATTTATTATGCTCCAATACACTTCTCAATTCTGCTTTGATTAAAACCTACAGAATGTTTAAGATTACTAGATTCAATTAATAACGAAGCATCGCACATCATTCGTGCATTGCTTCTAACCAAAAACAGCAGATGGCATTCTTCGTAAACAGTTAATTGAACTCTAGTACACACCAAACCGTGTAAAACTGTCGCCCTCTGTAAATCCAGCCATCTTTGTAAAGCTAGTTCTCGTTCTTTAATGGTACTTCCTAGAGAAACGTCTGAAGGCCCCCACAGGGAAAATTCTAATACGCTTTTTACTTGAGTGAGGGAAACGGCCCGTTCATGGCTGAGAAGCGATTGTAAAAGAGGGGTTATTTTGGGGGAGGGATGTAAGAAATTTAAGGCTTTCAAAGCGCACATGCAGAGTGTTCCTTGTTTCTCTTGATGAGATTTAGATGCTAAATCTACTGTCATTCTAAAAAAGAAAAATGTGTTAATATGTTTTATGAATCTCGATTGATTACGATTTAAGAATATTTACCCTAGAAGAACGCACAGCCTGTGATGACTTTCCTTGTCCATGTCTTTATGAAGAACAAAACTACTGAGAGACATAGGCAATTCTTCGATCCCTTGTGCTTGTAACGTTTTAAGAGCATTAACAAGTTGCAACATTACAAAATTGGAACCTTTCCAACTTTCTTCTTCGGTTTTTGTCTTTAATAGATCGCCGTAGGATTGAATTGTGTTTATTTGAAGATAAGGTAAAATCCAAGCGGTAGCTGAAATAAAAAAAAAACACCGTAAATTACTATACTCATCGAGGACTGACAAAAAATAAGTTATTAGTTATCAGCAATATATTTAACTAGAGTGCGAGGTGTGAAGTCTTATGAAGCGCGCCTTTGCCAGCCGTAGCTATGCTGGAATCGGCAAAAAACAGGCTCCGTCTCAAAACAAATTTCGACACAGGTTTAAAATTTTATTTCAAAATACGTATGTTCAATAAATAATAAACAATGAATTTCAAAATTACAAATTTATAAGTTAACAAATAATAAAACAATAGATAAGCCATTGTAAGTCATCGTCGAGGTCTGATATCTTACTCTTAGAACTGACGCCAAAATTTACTCTTATAATGAATTCATCAACGTTGTCTTGGAGATTATCAGCGACCCACATTTCTTTTTCCGTTTTTTCTCTGACATGTGCAACGCAATTTTCAGCTTTTTAGTTGCCTTCCAGAGTGAATAATCAGTTTCTTTATCATCTGTTAACCCTGCTAGGTATCTGTTGAAGGATTCTTCTTTGCGATTTAGGATTTCTCTTCTCAGTCTTTGAGTAGCCCTATTTAATATATTTTTATCTTCTGGTGATCTTGTCATCTGCCATTTCTTTCTTAGTTTTATGTTATGGTTATGGTTCTTAATGCAATATTATGCGAAAGTCTAAAAATCACAAATTTGTGGGTTCTTTCCTTTCTGCAGAGAGCCTTCCAATTAGACATCAAGAAGGACAAACGGTCCTCATATATGCAACCAAGAATACATGCTCTAATAATATTGACTAATACTGGACCGATCCCGTCTCAGCTATCGGAAAGACGGCAACACTGTGTGCCGGTCTCCCATTAGAAATACATTGTCCGGAACTGTGGTTTAATTGGCAAGTAAAACAATCTGTCCCAAATAGTAATTGTCAAATGTAGTACATCTTGTTAGAATCTACTTTTTAGGTATTAGAAAAGCTGTACTTTTTATTTATTTTTATAACTAATGTTTCTACTTACATTAGTTTTTAGTTTATGGCGTAGAAGTATAAATTACCAGATATGTACTAATTGCAAATGCTATATCTTTATCTATGTTTATTATTACAGTTTTTTAATTGTTCTTACCTTGTATCTGCTTATTATCGTCATCAATGGTTTCGAACGTTGCTAAATAGCTTTGCGGAATAAGATCGCTAAATTCGATTATCGGAGTTAGATTGAAAGTACCTAATGACATAGTATTTGAGATTATGGTGCCTGCAGAAACAGCTACGGTAACATTATGAGTTCCCCACATTGCCTGATGGAACACCCTGGAACCTACTACGACAGGATTCGTTGATTTCATTGAAAAATCAGTCCATCTCAGGTTTGAGAGCGTTTTTAGACCTCGTAGAGCTGGTTGGATATGGTTCATTTGTTGAATCTGCAAAAAAGTAAAAAATATATGAAAAACTGAACGTAAATATTTGGTCATGTAGCCATTTAACGATTTTCTTTTAATTTGTTTAAAAAATATAAAATAAGATTGAAATAAGAGTAGTTGCAAAAGCATAGACACATTTATTTTAATTATACCGAAACACTTTGTAATAGAGAAAAGAAACGGTTGCATTTATGCAAAATGTAAGTTACTCAAATTATTTAAAGATAAAATTACTAAAAATGTTACTTATTAAAAAAGCATATTTTAAAAATGACTATAAATACTAATGAACGATGTAAATAATTATTAACAAAACCTTTCTTTCATAAGTTTGCTGTAAATATTTACAATAACAAGTATAGTATCATAATTTAAAATTTAAAAAAAAAAAACGCAAAAAAAGTTTTTAGTTCATGATCTTTAACTTAATCAACATAATCATGTCTTGGCCAAAGCCAATAAACTAGTTTAAAGAAAAAACACATAATCTTTTACGTTTACGAAATATGCTTGGGAAAAATAAAACAATACTATAATGAAAATATTAATATTAATATTAATATTAATATTAACTTACATTTTCAAGTACTTGAGCCAAAGCTTCGTGGTTTGCTACTACTACAGCACCGTAATTGTCTTCTAAATTCTTGTGAACTATGCTTCTACCTTTTCTTGACCTTAATTTGTGTGTTCGCCCATGTTGGATCCAATCATGGTCATCTTCTGTTACCTGCAGAAATTTATTATTTTAGTAGTTTTAGTACATACGCAAAATTATTCAGTTTTATAATTTTTTTTTTTTTCATAACTGTAGTCCAGTGTTTGAAGGTTTTTGGCTTCGAATTATTCCGGACTAAACCGATTTACATGAAATTACTTATACTGTCCAGTAAGGAAGTAAGAAAAGTTATATAGTATCAATGTGCGCTTTCACCGTGGGAAAGGATAGCACTTCTCTGAGAAACATTTTTTTTAAATACAGGGTGTTTCAGAATAAATATTGTAACTTAAAAATATGTACATGTTAGTTAATCGTCATTTTTAGTTATCACACTCTATTTCGATAAATTACGATTACCAATTGGCGTAGAAATAGACATTTTTTAACATTCTATGTTTCATAAAGTTTTTTTACAAAAAAGAGACTCTTGCCATAGAACATTCCATTTCCGAGATTTTTTAGTTTTAGTCCGTATCGTGAAATATATGCACAATTTTATCAAGGGCCGATTTCATAACGAATATTAAAAGGTCCATTAAGTAATGGTCCCATTAGGTAATGGATCTTTAATATTATGAAATCGGCCCTTAATTAAAATTTGCATTTTCGGAATTTCATAACGTACATAGCTTTCATAAGTGAGTAGGGCTAAAACTAAAAAATCTCGGAAATGTTTTACAAAGATCAACCGAGATTCCCTTTTTTTTGTGACAAATTGCGAGAGGAATAATTTATTAATCTAAACTTTTATGAAATATAGGGTGTTCAAAAAGTTTGGATCAAAATTCTTTTCTGAACTCTTGGGTCTACGTCAATGGGTTATAGTAATTTATTGAAATAAAGTGTATTAATTAATAATGGTGATTAACTAACAAGTACATATTTTGAAATTAGTCTTTACTGCAAGAAAAGATAATTAGAAAATATGTATTTATGAAATTCACTTTATAATAAGCTAAGATCTACAAGTCCCCCAGTCCAGATATATTCCATAAAGTAGAAAAACGACACCTATAAAGTACCCCTCAGATGTTCAACTTTATGCAACTGGATGCGTAATAGTTATTTGTGAAACCTGTTGCGAAATGCCTTATTTTATGTAACGAGTATTTGCGGGACGAGCAGAGCGAGGTCCCGCAACATGAACGCCTACTCTCGGGAAAAACGACAATGGGCCCGTTCACTTTCATTTTTGAATGTGAATTATTTATATATTTATAAAGATATTAAACTCTTTTGTCTGGTGGTACTTTTCCCGTTAAGATATTTTTGCTAGAAGTAAGGGAATTCCCATAAAATTCTTTCAGTGACTCATTGCGTCAGAAAACCCCTAATTCCCTTCAGGTCTTGTATCGGTTAATAGTTAAAAGGGCGCGGTTGTCGGATGTATCATTGCACCACCATTCCTCTTCTGCATTTATTAAAGAAATTTAAATGATAAAAAAATATTATTTTTTAAAAATAATGTGTTTATATTTTCAGATAAAGCTGGAAGGCTTACCTTTTTTAAATTTTAATAAAAACAATTAGTATTACTCAAGCTGAATATTACCAGATCGAAATTTTATTTGAGAAAATGTATCTGGTAAACGTGACAACGTTGTAAGTACTTCTAAATAGTGTTGTCTACACACACTTCTAGAAATAAATGCAACGTTGCCACGTTTACCAGATAAATATTGCAAATCAAATTTCTACTTTTTGATTATGGTCTGGTTAATTTTCAGCCTGAGTAATAATAATTGTTTTAATTAAAAAGTAAAAAATAAGCTCCCAGCTTTAAATCTGAAAATATAAGTTCATGATTTTTAGAAAAATAATGGAATTTTACTATTTAAATTACATATAAATGCAGAAATGCTATATTAAGCCTTGGTTTCTTTGAACACTTCGTCGCGGTGAGCGGACAGTCCGTTAACCGTCGCGTTTTGACGATTTTATCCAACCAGAGTATTTAAATGGGAATGGTTTTCTTGAATCCGCTTAGCTGAACAGGACGGCGTCATGCCGCTGATTTGTCGCGAAGAGTCGGTTGATATCTGTTGAGTTTGATATCAGCGGAATCGTCGGCGTGTGCGGAGACTATATTTGTTATTAATTTTAAAACAATGAGTGACAAATTCACACATACAGATGACATCATGACTTTATTTTTAGGTTTCTTGGAAATTATGTCCTTTATAAAACTCAACACGAATTCAAAAAGATCTGTTTAAAGTCAAATACTCCCTAAATTTGGTTTCATTTCCAAAAAGCCTCCGCTGCACAGTGATATTAAAGGCACCTTCTGTATCGCGACAGAAAAACAACTCTTTCACTGGCTTATTGGAAACTTTGACGGTTGCAATTGCCAGTTCCTCTTGTTCTTCCTCTTCCAACAATAATAACAACGCAAACAATTTATTTGCAACCATTTTAGTACCTTTCGTTTACATTCATAATACATAAACACCACGTACAGACATAGAGAAAGTATCATTTTCTATATTTTTTAACAAACCACCTCGGGCGAAAATTGCTGTCCTTAGCGGTCGACGGAGTGTCCGCTCACCGCGACGGAGTGTTCAAAGAAACCAAGGCTTTAGGGATACTTCCGACAACCTCGCCGTCTTTCAGCATAACCGATACGAGACGTGAACGGAATTAGGGATTTTCTGACGCAATGAGTCACTGAAAGAATTTTATGGGAATTCCCTTACTTCTAGCAAAAATATCTTTACGGGAAAAGTACCACCAGACAAAAGAGTTTAATATCTTTATAAATATATAATCAATTCACATTCAAAAATGAAAGTGAACGGGCCCATTAATTTTCCCAACACGGCGTGGGCGCCGTGCTATCCCAAGAACAGGAGGGGGAAGAGAAAGTAATTGAGTATCTTAGTAAGACTTTGGGAAAAGCTGAGAAGAATTATTGCGTCACTAGAAAATAACTTTTAGCTATTGTCAAAGCCCTTCAACACTTCCATACTTTTTCAATAGAAGTTTTATAATTAGAAGTGACCATAGCGCTTTGTAGTGGCTGATGAATTTTAAAAAACCTGAAGGACAAGTTACTAGATGGATAGAAAGATATATAACAACTTCGAGATTGTGCATAGTAACGCAGACATTCTTTCCAGCGACCATGTTTTGAACAACAATGCCGGTACTGCAAAAGGCTCGAAGATCGAGAGGAGCCGGTTAAAGAAGTTACTCTTCGGGCGACCACAATCAAAAGCAGAGGATGACGAAGACGAAATCACCCTTGAATGCCTAAGAAAAACTCGAAAGAAAGACAATGACTTGAAGGTTGTCCGAGAATAGCTCAAAAATGGAGTCATACCTACTTGACAAGAGATAGCCAGATATAGTGGAACGATTAGAGGATACTGGACTCAGTGGGATTCCCTATATTTCACGATGGCCTATTACACCGGAAGTGGGAGAGCCCCGATGGAGTACATGTAGTCCGCCAAGTGGTACTGCCAAAATCACATGTCAGAAGTGTGTTGGAGAAGCTTCATAGCAGCCGTTCAGGAGAACCTTTCCGGAGAGCCTTTCGAATGAATCGCCATAGATACCCTCGGATCACTTTCCTTCACAGAAAGGGGAAACAAATACTTGATGCTTGTTATGGACAATTTTTCAAAGTGGCCCAAAATAGCACTTATTCCTAATCAGGAAGCGACGACAGTATCGGAAGCATTTATGAGGAACGTCATTGCGAGACATGGAGTCCTCCTGGAATTTTGAATCCGAATTATGGCAAGAATTGATAAAACTGTTAGGCATCAGTAAAACAAGCACTACAACTCTTCACCCACAGTCCGACTGAATGGTAGAAAGACACCATAGATCTACCGCATTCAGTTGTCAGCGGGAAGTAAACTCAAGGTAGTTCACATTGAAAAGTTAGTGCCATACCGTGGTCCAGATCCTCCCCGTTGGCTCCAATCAGGTTGCAGTAATCAAGTTATTCGGGACGAATAATTAGGGAAGAGGAAGCAATGTTAACCTGCACCCTGCAGTAGCCAGCGCAGCTGTTATAGGAAACGTATAAATACAAAAAGAAGTGCAAAGTCACCCGTCACCCTACAGTTTGCTGTGATCGTCATAAGTAAAAATACGAGTAAAAGAAAAAGATAGAATAGTCCAGAAATGTCTGGAAATATAATTCCTTGTCAAGAAAAATACGGATAGTTCGAGAAGGTTCTAGAAGGTTTCAGTTTGATGATAGACGTTATACATTCATGTTATCAGTTATATACTTGCACTGTAAAGTTGAGTTGAAATAAATTGAGTTACCAAAAACCTGCGTAACAATATTATTGTTTTAAAAGTTAATTTAATAAAATAATATTTTTTTGGTGGGCCCTTGTTATTGGCTCTTGGGCATAAGCATATTCGATTGTTTTTTTTATTATTTGGGGGATTGTATGTTTTAGCGCTATATTGATGAAACTTTAGTTATAGTATTGAATAGCCTGCAATTCAATAATTAACATATATTTTCTCATCAAATGAACTTAATAAAATAGAAATACTTGATGGAAAAAGGATATTTAGGAAAGAAAAGTTTTTAAGGAAATCTGAACGATGAGAATTATGGTGATTACAAGAAAAAATTAGGTAGTTCATATCAGCAAAAGAAGAATTATCGCATTGACAGTAAGGTGATTTATTAATACCAATTCTGGAAAGGTGTGACGGAAAACCTCCTATGAGCTACACCGTCTAAATACTGAAACAGATGGCGGAAAGGTTCTTGAATGTGCTCATATTTTTCTTTGTGCAATGAATGTTATGTTGGGAATGGGGTGTTATTACACTGCGACCTAAAAGATATATTGTGACCCCTTCTACCGCTAATGCAGCAAGGAGATGTCCCAATGCCTATAACGACTCTTCTAATCCTATATTCTCAAGAACGTGTAGGATTTCGAAGGGCTTTAAGTTAGGTAAATCTCTCACCTCTATTTGATATACTGCTAGGTATAGTGCCCTTGGATTCTGGAGTACTACACACT